ATCACATCGACATCCGGGGCCGGTGGATTATTTCATTTTCAATAAATGTGCTAACATATCGCGGGGGGGTTCGGAATCCGTCTGCGATATCTCTCCGTAGACTCTCCCATAGGATCCCCTGAAATAATCAATTTCCCTAGTGTGGTCGCCATAGGGATTGCTTATGCCCACGCGAGCCCGCGTTTTCCAAATTCCTTAGATTCCTTCGTGGTTCGTTTGAGCTGCCGCTGAGATGCCTTTGCGATTTCTGTTGGGCTCCTTTGAGATTGCTTTGAACTTCCATTGCTTCCTTTGATATCATGCGTGTGATTCTTTGTGATATTCTTATTTGATTCCTTTGGGGGTCCTTTCAAGTTCTCTGACATTCCTTCGACAATCCCTGAAGGGAGCATCGCATCGACCTCCGGCGCTTGTGGATTATTTTATTTTCAATAAATGTGCTAACATATCGCGGGGGGGGTCGCGGAATCCGTCTGCGATATCTCTCCGTGGACTCTCTCCCATAGGATCCCCTGAAATAATCAATTTCCCTAGTGCCGTCGCAATAGGGATTGCTTATGTCCACGCGAGCCCGCGTTTTCCAGATTCCTTAGATTCCTTCGTGGTTCGTTTGAGCTGCCGCTGAGATCCCTTTGCAATTTCTGTTGGGTTCCTTTGAGATTACTTTGAATTTCCAATAGGGTTCGTTTTAGATTCTGCGTGGGCTTCCTTCTGAGATTCCTCTGGGATTCCTTTGGGGGGCCCTTTCAAGTATAGCTGCTTGCGGTGATGTCATTGTTTGTCATGTTTGATTTACCTTTGATTTCCGATGCGCGTCAGTTTCCCAGTGTTCTAGCAAGGCGGGAACCCATTGGCAAGCGTTCGTGCGCATTGGTTCTTCAGGCTGTCGCCTCACGTTGCCGCCGGCTTCGGGCCGGGGGGGGGGGCAAATTAATTAATTATTTTATGTTTTAATGTGCTAGCGATATCGCCGGAGGGCGCCGCCCAAAATAATTATTTATTTTTTGTGCTAACGATATCGCCGGGGTGTTTACTGTTTGCTTCCCAGGGTTATCTATCTATCTATCTATCTATCTATCTATCTATCTATCTATCTATCTATATATCTATCTATATCTATTTATCTATCTATCTATCTGTGTGTATGTGTATGACTTCTCGAAGATTCCCGCGGATTCTTTTGCGTCGGCGCTGGGCCCCCTTGGCGCCGCCTCCGGCGCGCTCCGCGCGCCATGGAGGGGGGTCCAGCGCCGATCCAAGAAATCCGCGCGGACCTCCGAGAAGCTGTGTTTATTCCCAACCCTCCTTGGTTGGGTATTCGTTTGTGGTCTCCACCTTCCTTCCTCCCGCCTCCCTCCCTCCTCCTGCGTCCTGCTTCCTGCTTTATTCCCAACCCTCCTGTCTTGCCTGCGGGGGGCTGCGATCTGTGAAACTGTCGCCACTTTCGAGGCCTGCTGGGGGGCCCAGCAGAGTGAAGCCACACGCAGACCCAAATTAGACCTCGCCATCCCTGGGGGGCTGCGATCTGTGAAACTGTCGCCACTTTCGAGGCCTGCTGGGGGGCCCAGCACAGTGACGCCACGCGCGGACCCAAATTGGACCTCGCCATCCCTGGGGGGCTGCGATCTGTGAAACTGTCGCCACTTTCGAGGCCTGCTGGGGGGCCCAGGAGATTGTTTTTTTATCCTCTGGGGGGTAACGCTCGTTACCCGGGCCTTCCCCCCCCCCCCCCCCCCCCCCCCCCGTAACGGTAACGCTCGTACGCGGGGGGGGTCTCGGTCTTCCCCTCCAACATGCTGGTGCCCGAAGGCATGCGCACTGTGGTGTGGTGGTCGCAGGCGCACTGTGGGCGCTCGCAGGCCATTGCGGCGCTCGCATGCGCGATGCTGGTGCTTGCGGGCTTTGCGCTTGTACTCGAATCGTCGTCGTCGTCGTCGTCGTCGTCGTCGTCGTCGTCGTCGTCGTCGTCGTCGTCGTCGACGGCGCCCGAAAACGGCCTCCGGAGGCCGAAACAGGCGGCAAACGTCGTCGTCGACCTCGTCGCTCGTCGCTCGTCGATCATCGTCGTCGCGCGCGCGGGCGCGGGCGTGGTGCCGGGACCACGCGGCGGGCTTTGCGCTTGTACTCGAATCGCAAGCCACTGTGGTGCTCTCAGGCAGAGAGTGCTGCTCGCGCGCATACTATGGCGATCGCAGAGCGCCCCTGCTTCGCCATACCCCGCCCAGCCCAAGCGTTACCGTTACCCGGGGGGCACGACCCCCCCCCCCCCCCGGGTAACGAGCGTTACCGGCCGGAATAAAAAAATGATCTCCAGCACAGTGACGCCACGCGCGGACCCAAATTAGACTTCGCCATCCCTGGGGGGCTGCGATCTGTGAAACTGTCGCCACTTTCGAGGCCTGCTGGGGGGCCCAGCACAGTGACGCCACGCGCGGACCCAAATTAGACCTCGCCATCCCTGGGGGGCTGCGATCTGTGAAACTGTCGCCACTTTCGAGGCCTGCTGGGGGGCCCAGCACAGTGACGCCACGCGCGGACCCAAATTAGACCTCGCCATCCCTGGGGGGGCTGCGATCTGCGAAATTGTTGCCACTTTCGAGGCCTGCTGGGGGGCCCAGCACAGTGACGCCACGCGCGGACCCAAATTAGACCTCGCCATCCCTGGGGGGGCTGCGATCTGCGCAATTGTCGCCACTTTCGAGGCCTGCTGGGGGGCCCAGCAGAGTGAAGCCACACGCAGACCCAAATTAGACCTCGCCATCCCTGGGGGGCTGCGATCTGTGAGACTGTCGCCACTTTCGAGGCCTGCTGGGGGGCCCAGCACAGTGACGCGCTACGCGCATTCACAATAGACCTCCGTATCCTTGGGCCGGAGGGGCTGCGGGTCAGGAGGAGGCGGCGGAGTCGGAGGAGGAGGAGGAGGAGGAGGAGGAGTGAGGCACCGCGCGGACCTGAGCGGGACCTCGCCGTCCCTGGGGGGCTGCGATCTGCGAAATTGTCGCCACTTTCGAGGGGTGCTGGTGGGTCCTGCGGAGTGAGGCACCGTGCGGACCTGAGCGGGACCTCGCCGTCCCTGAGGAGCTGCGATCTGCGAAATTGTTGCCACTTTCGAGGGCTGCTGGTGGGTCCTGCGGAGTGAGGCGCCGCGCGGACCTGAGCGGGGCCTCGCCGTGCCTGGGGGGCTGCGATCTGCGAAATTGTCCACACTTTCGAGGGCTGCTGGTGGGTCCTGCGGAGTGAGGCACCGTGCGGACCTGAGCGGGACCTCGCCGTCCCTGGGGGGCTGCGATCTGCGAAACTGTCGCCACTTTCGAAGGCTGGTGGCGGGTTCAGCGGAGCGAGGCACCAGGCAGATCTGAGCGAGACATCGCAATCCTTGGGGGGCTGCGAGCCTCGCGAATGCCGCTCGCAGAAGTATATGCGCCCATGTCACGTCATGACCTCCGTATAACGTCTCCCAAGCTACTTATGCCCCGCATTGCGCAAGGGTTGGGTATGTCGCCAGGGTAATGCCCTTGTTTTTTCCTCTTTAAGCGGTGGGGGAAGTCTCATGGCGCCAACATCACAGAGCGGATTTCGTTCGGAAAACAGTTGGATCGGCCCGGAGTGTCCTGGAGAATTTCGTCCCGGAGTTCGAAGTGAATTCCGTGCGGATTTCTCTTGGCCAGGAAGGCGAAACAAAAAAAATCCACGTGGAATTCTGTTCGGTTCTCGCTCGCCGTGTCGGGCTTTCGCTCGGACCCTCCCCCCTGTGGCCATGCCGGCCCCCTGTGCGGCCCGCGACAGGCTCTCGCGGGCCGATCTGGCTCGGGAACCGCCGCCGCCTCCTCCTCTTCCTGCTCCTCCTGCTCCTCCCCCTGCTCCTCCCCCTCCTTCTACTCCCCCTCCTTCTACTCCTCCTGCTCCTTTTACTTCTCCTCCTTCTACTCCTCCTCCTCCTCCTCCTCCTCCTCCTCCTCCTCCATTCCTTTCCCTTATGAAGAACTTCTCCCTGGTGCACCCTGAGACTGGTCGAACGGGCGGGCCGGGCGTTTCGCCTGAGATTTCTCACCAATTATGACCCTGAAGCTTAAACATTGACACTAGTTTCCAAAATGGAGGGCGGGTGGTTTTCAAAATGTGGTTCTTGCCTTGGTGTTGCGCACAATATTTTTCAAAATGTGCAAGAGATTCTCGATTGATGACAGGCGGTTTTCAAGATGTGGTTCTCGCTTTAGTGCCGTGCACAAGCGTCTTACAAATTTGCAAGATGTTCACCGATTGCGGCGGGCGGCTTTCAAGATGTGGTTCTCGATTTAGCGCCGCGTACACTCGCTTAAATAATGTGCAAGAGTTTAACGGATTGAGGGCGGCTCGTTTTCAAAATGTGGTTCTCGCCTTAGCGCCGCGCACATTCGGTCCAAAGAATGACGGATTCCCATGGTCAACGTACGAGCGAGCGTTTTGGAAGGATTATGGATTGTGAGGGTGCAACAGCTAGGTTGATTCGCGATGGTGAAGTCCCAGGAATTGCGTTCTGGCACGAGTCAGATTCGTCAAGACGCAACAGTCAGGTTGGTCCGTGGCATTGGAGTCCCGTGAACGATGTTGTAGCATGCTTCAGGATATTCAAACGTGTGTCTCCCAACGAGGCAGTTCCCTCAGTGGGAACGAACCCGCGTATGGGGCATATGAAGAGGGAGCTCGGAGGGAGGGTTCATTCCAACATCTTTGATGAGTCTTGGGCTTACACTGGTTCTCTCCTCCTCCTCCTCCTCCTCCTCCTCCTCCTCCTCCTCCTCCTCCTCCTCCTCCTCTCCTTTATCGCTTCCCCGCCCGCTCTTCGCACACCGTTCTCGTGCTCCCTCCGTGCCACATCCCGGCGTCGCCCTTCATGGGAGGGTGCATCTTTTGCGCCCCCCTCGTGGGAGGAGCCGCGGCAGCCAAGGCGGGAGCACTCCGCGCGGGGGACCGAGGGACGGGAACGAGGAGGGGTGGAGAAGCGCGTGCATTGCGCGGAGGTTGCGATCGAGCTGTTCGACCGTTTCGTCGGCACGTCCGAGAGCATGCTGCCAAAGGTCGAAGCGAGGACGAGGAAGACAGGAGCGTTGGCGAGGAGGAGGAGAGGGAAGAGCGAAGCAGAGTGTTCATGCAATGGTGCGGGGCGGTTGGCGTTGGTTGGGCGCGAGCCCTCAGGGGCAACCCCTCTGGATCGAGGTTTGCGGCTTGCGCTGCGGGCAGTGCGTTGCTACATTGTCCTGGTTTTCGGGAGGGGAAGAAATACGCAGGCACGAGGAATCGTCTATGCCCCAGAAAATATGGGAAGATATGGGAAGTGGGGGGGAGACAAAAGCCCAGGAAATATGGGAGAATATGGGGAATCCTTTTTTTGTGTGCATTTATTTTTGTGTCCCAGGGCCCCTTCACTGCTCGTGGCGGCCTTGCGCGTCTTCGTGGGTCGGTGGGGTGCTCTCTGGGGGTCCTCAGAAGCGTGGAGGGGGGGGGGGGGGTACGAGGCGTCCTGGCTCGCCTCTGGGCCTACACTCTAGGCGATGCTTAAGAAAACTTAAGTTTTCGGCCAGAGTCTCGATTATTCTTAATGTTTCAGTGTAAATCCTGAGATTTGAATAGAAATGTTGGGTTTTTATTCAAGTTCTGAGACTATGAGTTTCTTAACAAATGATTTCTTAAGCATTTCGCAGGGTGTACCAAAGAGTGTTCTGAGAACCATTTGCGGTTTCCACGAGATGTTCTCAGAATATGTCTGGCCGGGACTGTCTTGTTTTATCACGTCGGGCTCATCGTGGTAGGCCTATAGAGATGCCGTGACGGTCGGTCCCTGCTCAAGTTGCCCCCCCGACGGGGTCAACCTCGCCTCGTCGTCGCGCTGCGACGGGGGTCTGAGCGCCTTCGGCGCGCGGCGGCTGCCCGCGACGGGGGTCGATGTGGGGCTGTCGACGGGGGTGACGCCCTCCCCCCGACGCTTACTAAGCGACTCGGGGTAGGGTTCGCATGTGGCCTCCTGCAAGAGCCCCGTCCTCGATCGGGGGCCCGCAACCGTCGTGAAAACGCCATGGACCAAGCAAAAACAGATCTCACGAGCGCGCCTCCACGGGGAGGCCTGGGCTCGCGGCAGGCACCTCGACACCACCACCGTGCCTGGGCCTTTTGCCAAGCACGGTGATAGTGCGCAGGTGCCTGCTGCGAACCCAGTCCTCCTCTCGTCTTGGAAAACTAGAAGAAGACGAAATGACAAACATTAAGTGTTGGCGCTCCGCGCGGAGCGCCAAACGTTTATGGTTATGGTGTTTGTGCTTCCTTCTTCTATATTATATAGATATAACAAAAAAACGGAAGGTTGTTGGCCGTTGTTTGGGCCTTGGGACCGTCAAGCAGTTTTAATGTATAAAACCAGAGCTTGTGGGATTGGTTCTGGGCTTCCGAGGGTCCGCGCGCCGCGAAAAAGAAACAGAAGCAGCGCCGTTGGGGGCCTCTCCTCCGACGTCGCAGGTTCGGCTTGTGGCGCGAGCCTCCCGGGAGCTCGACCCCTCTCCCGAGGCAGCCTCTGCCACACTGGGTCGATTGCAGTGGAGGCCCGTGCCAAGAAGCACCCTGCTTGCCTCCAGGGTTCCCTGGGCTTCTTGGGGTCCGATGTTTTGCTATGGAAAGCGTGACGTGCCCACACCAAAAAAATCAGTGGACGCCTTGCGATCTCACGGCGGGGTTTCTTGTGGAAGGCTTCTTGTGGTCGAGCCCTTCTTGCATGCGAGTCCCGGAGCCAGGAAACGGCCTGGGGCTGAAATCGTAGAACATGGTTTGTTGGCTTGGACCCCGAACAGTGGGTTGTTGCATCGTGGATGTGGAAGGTGTTTGGTGCTACAGAATTTGCGTAAGCAGTGCGGTACAGTATATGCAGTGCACGCTATGTGGTGTAAGCAAAGCGGTGCAGTGCATGCGGCGTAATTCTTGTGGTTACGAAATGTGGTGCATAGCATGCAGTATAAGCTGTGTTGTGCACGCTATGCGGTGTAAGCTACGTCGTGCAAGCTATGCGATGTACGTTGTGCGCTATGCGGTGCAAGCTGTGCGGTGCAAGCTGTGGCGATGTGAGCTATGCGGGTCAGTCCACGTGGTGGAAGCTGCTCGGTTCACGTGGTATGGTATAAGCTATGCGGGAACGGCTCTGCGACGCGGCGATGTGAGGCAAGCGATGCGGCCGCCCACGAGACGCACACGGGCGGGCACCACGCGTTGCCCTCCAGCGCGCGCAAGGCGCCCACGAGACGCCCGGCCACGAGGCGGGCTCCCGGCGCGGCCGTTGGCGCACACACCCAGTGCGCGAGGCGCCCACGAGGCGGGCACCCGACGATACATCGGCATACCCACCTAGCGCACGAGGCGCCCACGAGGCGCCCCGCGGGCGGGCACGGCACACCATCCGGCCACTTTGGGAAGACGAGCGTGCGCCCCGCAGGGCGAGCACCGTTGGGGGCAATGGCCGTCACGACACGTGCTCCGCCCCTCGGGATTTGGGTGGGGCAGCCGCTCTTCGGGGCGCCCCCCCCCACCCAGACAGGGCCGCCTCCGAGGCGGCGACCCCGCGGGACGCCAGTGGAGAGACAACGACCCCGGGGGGACCCCGGGGCCCCACCGCTCCTGGCCCCCACGCGCGCTGGGGGGGGAGGGCGCGATTAGGTTCAGGCATGCTGCTTCAGGGTGGTTTTTCAGGGCCGCCTCAGGAAAAGAGTGGATTGGACTTGGTCGGGGGAGGGGGAGGAGGAGGTGGCGGAGGAAGAGGAGGAGGAGGAGGACGACGAGGAGGAGGAAGAGGAGTAAAAGAGAGGATTGCATTCGGTCGGGGGAGGCGGGAGAGGAGGAGAGGAAGAGAGGAGGAGGAGGAGGAGGAGGAGGTTGAGGACGAGGTGGAGGAGGAGGAGGAGAACGAGGAAAAAGAGAGGACTGAATTTGGTCGGGGGAGCAGGGAAAGGCGGAGAGGAGGAGGACGAGGAGGAGAAGGGAGAGGGGAGGAGGAGGAGGAGGAGGAGGAGGAGGAGGAGGAGGAGGAGGACACCCGAAATTGATTTGCCCGTCGAATGTACAACAAAAGACGCTTAAGTTTCGTAGATCTACAAGCAGTATACGCATGTTCGTGGTTTCGACGAACCAATCAAGTTTGGGGCATCTCATTTTTTTAGTCCATCCCCTACTCAAGTTCTGGGGCTGGTTCGGGTCGCGAATTTTGTCGGCGTGCTGTTTTGCCGACACCTTGTCAGCCGCTGTGATTCAGCAGCGTTGCTCGTCGCTTCTAGGGCGAACCATTGCCAGAATCAGCTTGAAATGGCCCTCTGCACAGCAGGTTCCGAGTTATGCAGCCATGGTTTGTCCTTTCGTATTCATTGCCCGCGTCAATCGATTGGATGTCCATGAGCGTTCCATCGTTATCCTTTTGCCCTTCCTGCTGCTGTTACCTCTCCTTGCCCACCTGACGAGCACCTGAACAGGTGGTTGCCGACGCACTTGGCGCTTTCCGGAAGTTCTTGGTGGCGCCAGGATGTTCAAATGGGAGGTATTCCGATGTCTAGCTACATGTGCCTGGGTAGTTGTTTTGCCCCATTCCCTGCAGGCGACAGGAGAGGGAGGAGGGGGCAAGGGTTGGGGGAGAGACGGGATGGAGGGGATGAGGGAGGTATCAGCGTTGGGCGGCAGAAGTCATGTGCGTATGTCGCAGGACAGTCCGAATGCAATTGTACGCGCATTGCATGAGCAACATATAAGGGGCGCGGCATCATAACCATGTTGAGGATTGATCAGTGCGTCGGGTGGAAGTATCATGCGCGATTGTCGTGACCTACAGGTGGCGTTCGGCTCCCTTGGAGATCTCCGAATGCGTCACCACAAGGACTCGAGAATGGTGAGCATGTGTATGAGAGGATAGGATGTTTAACCAGTTGGATTGGAATTTCGTCACCTGCTGGCTGTCAAAGAGCGTGTTCGTTGGCCACCATCTTTCGGTGGCCCCGAGATTCTGCGGCAGCGGTTCGCCTTGAAGAGTTGACGTCACGCACGACGGAGTCTTGCCCGCCTGGACCAGTCGCAATTAATTAGGTTAGAGGAATAAGTGGGCTCTACAATTAGTTTGCAGTGTGATCGTATCAGCGCGCTGAGTTGTTCGTGTTACCTGATGCAGTGGCGAATGTCTGTCTCGGGGTGTTGGGGTAGATGCTGTCCGCTGTGATGGGGTGCGGGAGCAGGTTGTCCGCATGTGAATGCAAGGTTTGCAGGATGTGATTCAGGCGAGGTGCTCTTGTTGTACAGTAGAACGCGCAAGGCGTTGAGAGGAGCACGCGCAGTAAAAAGGTGTGGGTTGTGCATATTTGACCGTTCGGTGCGCTAAAAAGTGTTGCGGTGAGCTAGTGCGAGAGTCGACAGTGCTTAGGCCAGCCATTGCCTATGGCACAAGTACATATATAATCACACACATATATATATATATATATATATATGTGTGTACATGCGCAACGGAAATTTACATCGCGACCAGTTTGTTGGATAGACACTTGCGTACACAGTGGTCAGCACAGTGCGTAATCCAACAGGCTTGAAATATTGGATTCCGTATGGCGTAGCGCATCGGATTGGTTATGTTTCGTGTGTCCTTGCCGATCCATCCAGCAACAGACTTTTGACAGCGCGCACGGTTGCACGTCACAATGCGGACGGGTGCGCAACATCGAAATTGCGAGTCTAGACCAGATGCAGATCAGTGCTCAGTCAAGACTAGCAGAAGGACAGTGTATGTGACCAATAGTTGCCTCATCAGCTCGGTCCAGAAAGTCATGATTTTACACTAAATTGGTGCCCCCTTGCAGCCGCCTGGAGGCAGCCTGGGGTGTGCTGCTCGGATCCTTTAAGACTGCCTTGGGGTCCTTTTAGGTGGGCCACGAAGCCTCGAGCCAAAGAAGCGGTGCAACATCTCGCCCCAAGTCTCAGCGTGGCACGTCAGTCATAGGCGAATGCTGCCCTCCCTTCCCAGCTCATTCGGGGTGGACTTACCAATGCAGGTGTTCCAAGGCTTCAGCGTGATCTTTGGGCACCCTCCCCCTCCAGCAGCGGCTCTCTTCAAAGCTGCAACCGCGGAGGACTATGGCTTCCTCGAAGAGTATGAGCAGATCCCCGCTCCGATGGAAGAGGAGTGGCCTGGCGACAGCGCGACAAACGGCGAGCGGAGTGAAGGGACATGAGGAGTGAAGAATGCAAGTTGCGAGGGTTGGCGGGAACGCGTCAATTCGGTATCATTTAACCGATCCCCATCCCCATCCCCATCCCCATCCCCATCCTCTTCGAGACCCCCACCAAATTGCCACCCCAGTTGGGGATACACCCCTCGGAACCCGAAGGGAACGGCCTATATCCCCATCTAGGTGGGGAAATCGGCCAGTGGGGCCCAGGCCACGCCGCTGGGGATGGGGATCGGTTGAACGATACTCATCAACTGAAGATGCAGCTGAGAGGTTCGAGGATTGCGATGCTGGTGCTCACGTTGGCTTGAGCCCCTCGCGCTGGGGCCTGGCATTGCAGAGGCCGGCTCCGCCGACCCCGAGAGTCACCACCCACCAAACCACTCCAACCCAACCCGAAGGCCTCAATTTGCCCTCCATTTCCAGTTGGGGGGGGGTCGGGGAACACTGAAACAACACATATGGAACCCGTACCCCCCCCAACCCGAAATTGGGGTCTTCGGGTTGGGTTGGGGTGGTCTGGTAGGTAGTCAGAGAGTAGCACAGGTTTCGGTCCAAGAGGCGGCAGGGCGAAAGATAGCAGCGGCTGTCTTCGGGGGAGGCTTCGAAGACTTCTCAGCAGGCCGGGGGATGTCCGAGTCTCCCGAGAAGGCCCGCCCCTTCTCGGTTCCCCTCCCGGGCTCGCCGCCGAATCGGGGGGGGCTCGTATCGGGTTTAGCCAGGACCCCAGGTCAGGGGACCCGGTCAGTAGTAGGGCCCGGGAGACCCGAAATTTGCCGGAATCACTAAACCAGGTCTGCCCTGGCTCGTGTTTTTTCGGCTGACCGCAGATCCGGTTAGTGGAACGGGCGGGGGGGGCGTCCCCAGGTGCACATCACTAAACCACTTGGCATCGCTCGGACGTGTGCATTTGTTCTCGGCGAGGACCGTCAAGGGGCATCCTGGATCATTCCCCCAAAAAAGCACGCACGAAACCGACAGATGCACGGGAAGTGGACGTCCGAGCGATGGCAAGACCAGGTCCCACGAAGCCCAGTGCTGCCAACGCCCGATCGCACGGGGCTTCCTGCGGACCTCCTGCGGGCCCTGGTGGCCCCCAGAGGCGGCAAGGGCGAAAGACGACGCGGTGGCTGGCGTCGCGCGAGGGCGCACGCCCGGCGGCCTGCGGCCCGTCCTGCCACTGCGCTCGGGTCGTGCCCAGAGGCCTTCGGGGCACGTAGGG